GGTGAAAGTGGTGATCGGGGAAGGGGGAGAGGTCGTCAAATTCTTGGAATTGGAACAACGGAAAGATTGCTCTGGTTGGAACGCACATGGATAAGAATGAGCGGCTAGTTTTATTTCGAACTGTTCGATCATCACATGTATTTGACCAGGAATGAGTCCTAGGAGGGGAGAGACCGGCGAAAAAATCGCTTATCAAAAGGCAAAACCGTGGAACGTCATATGGGTATGGGGAGAGCGCAGTAAGGACTTGTTACGGGGCGCTATCACTAGTTTAAAGATGCGCATAGTAATGTTACGGAGAGTTTGCACAGATTTCATGATTTCAATTTGTTCGGATGGGATGTCTGCGGTGCGACACCCTAGTATACTTTCCCACTTTTGGACTCTGATCGTGAGTCTGGCTGTGAGGTCCGTTGGTGGTAGGATATTATATTACTTCATCAGGCGATCACCAATGTTGTTTCCCTTTCTCGCTGTTACCACATGGCAGTGATCTCAATAATAAAAATGGTCTAGCGTTTTTTTGCGGGAATAGAGCTACCTGGTCTACCCTTCCGGACGTCCTGTTACTTTACGCAGTGTTCAATGTAACCAGTTATATGTATACAGACTGTTAAGGAATTTCTGGTTCTAAAACCCAACCTTTAAGGTCTGCGGATGGACACGTTTTTATTTGGAATGTGCAATCTACCAAGTTGGAGAAGATTCTCCACAAAGGAGGACATGAGTGAGTTCTTTCATAGCAGTTTCACATATGAAGATCCTACAAAGGAAGTAGAGAAAATATTCTCATTTTCAGGCACGCGGTGCTCTCGCTGAGCTGGAATCCATCTGGTCATGGTCTACTTACCGCAGACAAGCAAAAAATTGTGTGCATGTGGAAGTGATTCCACCACATTCCTTTCAAATGACTCGCCATTGTGTGAATCAGTGGAATTGTATTCAGAGCACTTTATAAAGCTTCAAATTTACCCAGTTTCGTTATCTGCAGCGGTTTTCAATATTTCTCTGGACTTGGAATGGGAAAGTATTAGCTTACTGATGGAGAATCCAACGAGCTGTCGGCGGAGCTCCATCGTTCCTCACACTTTCAAGGGAAGATCCCCGGTCGAAGTGGGCATTTGTATTTTTGTTAAGCGTATATACAGACGTATTTCCGGATGATGGTCTCGATTATGCCCTCCTATGCTGTCGAACGATCCTTTGAACAGAATTACGAAGGGTTGTTTAAATGAAAAACCGGGAGACAGAGGCTACAAGCAGCGGTAGGCTGAGGGGTAACGCTGGCGGTTTACATTGGTGGGACGATGGTTAGCATCTTGCTGGTAAGGAAACTTTTGCTCTTTTGACGGGGTTTGTTTTCGATACAAAAAACTATTCATTGTTGAAATTCACACTGTTTACAGTGCTGTCGTGTGTTTAGAGGAGATTCTTCGAAAATCAACTCATCTTGTCATAATGTTTCGGACCATTTGTTTTACAAGTCGGGTGTTCTGCGTCACGGAAGGTGGTTCCGATGATTAATAAACGATATGATATGCTTGCTAAGTGGATCAGAACAGCGCTGAAGGCTATAAGTTAGAAAACAGACGTCTGGTCCCAATTTCGGAAAGTTGGCCGACATTTAATCGTTGGAGTTATCCCTATCCACTGCCCTAGTGCTGTTCTACCATAGAGAGCATCGAGCCTGTAATTGAAAAAACACCACGTACACCTTCCGATAATGCGAGCTAGATAAGTAAAATAGACAAGTATATTCCTTTACACAAGTAGAATTGAAAGTAAAGCCCCATCACATGGCCAAACTGTGGCAATGGTTTAAAGGACGAATTCACGATG